ATGAATAATTATAAAAAATACATAATGAAACAAAAAAAGGGATTTAATCATATATTATTTTTGAGATGTAATAAAATAGACGAGTTTTCTACGAGTCCTTTGGATTTATAATTATTTCACCACCGCTTGCCTGGCTGGCATTCAAGACCACAACACAGGTTTTTCCCGAAAGTCCAAAGTCCAGTTCGGAAAATATGCAAAAGTGCAATTGGAACGGAACTCACGTGTATATTTTTCTTTTGATTGCTAATTTAGACCCCTATTAGCCCTGGTCATAGTTGATCTTGGGCAGCTAGCGCGCATGTCCTGAAATAAACACTGTGTGTGTCTTTCCACTTGGTGTATTTCATTTAAGAATAAAAAGGAAGTTTTGTGAATATGAACCGCTCACCAAGCCAGCTGTGTTTAAATTTGGAATATTAAAAAAAATGGTCGTGTAACTTCGTGTACGTATCGTGAACATGTGTACGTATTTCAGTTATATCCAGAAAAAAATGTAAATAAAAAAGGCAAAAAAGAATACTTTTAGAAAAATAATTGGTTATGAAGATACTCATAGTTTTACAACTCGGAGAAGATACGTCTTAAATTGCTTCTCACCAGCCTCTGCTAGACCGTTCAATGTTGACTGGAAGAAGGGCTGATGGTAATTAAGCATATCCCTGAAACTGGTTGTGTGCTTCTGTATAGGTTGTGCCTTTATCAGCAGAAACAAGTCTTGTAAAAATTGACAAAAGCCTGCAATGAATGACTTTTCGAGTCGACTACAACTAGGATTGTTAGTGGTACATAAAAAAACACACACGAATGTCTCAAAGATCTCCACGTAATTTGTAAATTGAGGTATAAAACGTTCCACAGAAATCAATGACGACGCATAAGAAAACGGTGTGAGCTATAAAATAGTGAGCGAATTGGTCATTTCAGGAGCTTAACAGATTTTTTTTGAACCTAGAAACCCGAAACAGCAGGTCTTTTGAATCGCTCTACGAGCAGAATATGTGACTATCAGGATTAGATGATCGAACGATTTCTGTTCAAGAAGAGAAAATCATTTTGATTCGAAAACAATAGAGAATAATTTTTTTGTAATCTAGGAAGTGAAAAATGATTTTCTGCATCACGGTCAATTTTAGCGACCCAAAGTTTCTGTATTATACATTTTGTAGAAAGGGCGTTGAATTCGAATGGGTCGAGCCATTTTCTGATTTCAGAAAAATGGTTCGTTTTATGCAAAGTTTTTTTGTTTGGTGTAATTTATAAAAACGTGTTTCGGAAAATGGTTACCATTGAAGGTCAAAAACCTGAAGGAAAAATGAAAGTATTTTTCTGTCGGCACTAGAAACAGCTGAAAAAACCTCCTCAGTGAAGCAATAAGAGCTCTCTGAAGTGCTAAAACCGAAGGGACAGAAGAACATATACCCAGGATATCATATGTATATTTCTGTGCCAAGAGTATTCATAATTTTATTAATTAGAATGCAAGTCCAAATAAGGGAGAAAATCTTCATGAAATCTACTGAAAAATGTCATGTTGTGGCGTTACTAGTATTTTCACAAGCATATTATTTTATTTCAGCAAAGAAAAAAATAGGATGAAAACAATGGAATGAAAACAACAGAATGAAAACGAAAAAGTAATAGAAGTGAAAAAGTATCCTTCTATTATTTTGTTTCTGGATGAAATGTGCTAGGAATCACAAGTTGAAATAAAAGACCTCGTTAGTACTTATCTCGAACAAGTTTCAACTTTTGAGAGTTGTCGTTCGTAGGGGATTGATTGCTGGTTAACGAAAAAACAGTTTTTTTGTTAGAGTTGACTGGTGTTCTTTGATCCTTTTGTGAAACTATCCTAGACTATTCCTAATCTGGTACTTATCCTCAGTGGTTTAATAACGCAATGGTGAGGTAAGAAACACAAAATAGATGTGGAAGAGAGGTTTTGACTCTTTACTTCTTTATCTTCATACAAAAATTGTTTTTTTTCAAGGACAAAACACAAACATTACAGGAAAATCCTCAAGGCGCTCTAAAATCGGTGCCAGTGCGAAAGTAGTGATTCACATTGGATTGGAATCGCTGTAGTTCAAATCCATTTGGAAAAACGTTTTCAGGAAGTTTGTTCCACATAAACGCAGTTCTCCAAATGAAAGAGTTCTTGAACAGTGAAGTTTAAGGTGTATTGAGTTGAACCTCAGATGAGCAGCCACAGTCCGTCGCGTATTTCTGATATGTACCGCTCCTGGTGGAATCAAATTTGCAAAGTCACTGAACACTTCCAATGAAAGTATATACATATATAAGAGAAACAAATCTCCAACCTTTCTTCGATGTTCCAGACTATCAAGGTTACAAGTAATGTTTACGTGGCGGATGGTTCTTTTCTGGATGGAATCTAGCAGCTTCAGGGTATGCTTAGGTGCGGATATGACAACTATAGATTTACTCTTCCATGAATTCTGAATTAGCTAGATATAATGTAGGGTTTTTGATCGAATGCGATTTTGGCATAGAAAATTTTCAAAAAGCTTGTGAATGAGTGTCCCCAAAATAGAAAATGCTATTATTCAAAGCGAAAATATATTTGTGGAGCCAATATAGAGAAAGGACTTCGGGTTCATGGAAAACGAATTAAATGAATTTTGAATCGCAATGCTCACTTTCTAAAGTAAGATCCAACCGAAAACAGGTTCAACAGCTAATTGAAAATCCCAACTGGTTAAAGACAACTGTCACTATTGTGGTTTTATTGACTTCTTGGATATAATGGAATAGAAAGTACCCCATTACCATCATGGATTTCTGCCATCACAGTACCTATCATAACAGTATATAAATATACGAGGAAAATTATCTCTTCTGCAATATGAAGATGGAAGAGTGGATTTGTGATATGCTGACATGAAAGAAAGAAAAACTGAATTCGGGTCACATTTTCTCAATTCAGTTTTTTTCTCATACATACATCAAATCACTTCTCTCATATCAAAACAGTGCTTTCAAAGAATTGGTATTGCCTTCGAATGGTTGAGTGTTAGGGGGTTGATCGAACTATGTTCCTGTACTTGCATAGAAGTTTGAGCTTGAGATATCTGTAGTTGACTTGAAATACTTTGAAATTGTTCGTTGGTTATAGATATATGCAAAGTTGAATAATGCTTGCTTTCGCAAATACAGCATCGATAAATTGTAAGGCAATTTTGTAGTAGATAATTTGCTTCATATACGCGCTTCTATGGTCAACTGATTTATCTAGAAATTTCTGGCATTTTGCAATTTGCAAGTATGAATACTTGTGGTTCTTCACGAAAATAACATTCAGTTGGAAATAAGGAGCAATACTTGTGATAAATAAAATATTTGTTAATTCTTTTTTTGAAATGGGAATTTTTTGTGACATTGAAAGGACTCGAATTTTTGTTTTGTTTTGGTGAAAAAAGGAATTGAATAAACTCCAATGCATTGCACTCATCTACTAGGAAATCATGCAACTGACTGTATGCTGGAATAGGTATAGAAATATGTTCCACTTCAAAGCCTGTTTAAAAAAAATCTGTTTAAAATCTGTTTTTCCGTTAACCAGCTGTCGCACCCCTACGAACGACAACCCTCAGAAGTCGAAACTTGTGCGAGCTAAGGATTAACGAGGTCTTACCTTTTAACGTGTGATTCCTAACACGGGGGTGGGTGATAACATCAATTTTTTTCAATAGTATATGAACGAGTGACAATTTTCAATTTTCAGTATCGAAATTGAGTACTTTCAAGTATCTTCGAAGTTATTTAGTAGCTTTCGTTTTCAAAATGGAGTTTTTACGGCATTAGAAGCATTCAAAACTGAAAGAAATATTACCTTTCGACCAACTCATCTAAAGCCATTTTGTAATCCGCTTTGAGATTCCACTCAACAATCTCAAAGGTTTGTCGTCAATTTATTGAAATAAGTACATATTATCTAATCTGAAATTTTCGTGTTGTAATTTCTTGAACAGAAAAGTTTGGTATTAGTTTAGGATGGAAATTGCAGAAGGTTAGTCGTTTGGCCCATGGGTGGAATTAACTTGTGCTCGAACTTTGCGCGGAAAATTTTATTATAAAGCAAGACAATCTCAAAATAAACCTTATGTTTATGTTATCTTATCATATTCTGTGAATTGAACTCCTCCTTTAATTTAGAGAAATTCAATGAAATCTACAATCATGAAACTGACATAACAACGACAGTTGTGATATTTGAAAATGAATGGTAATTTTGAATTCAGAAAATATGAAATACGGGCAGATTGACCAAAACATGCTGACGCGAGGAAAAGTATGCTTCGATTGCAGACTAATGAATGCACGATAACAAGATAAAATGTCCAGGTTTTTATACAATACACACAAAATGTCTACATAAATATTGAGAATGGCTACTTCCGAGGAGACCTTCTGTATCATGATGTCACCACTCTTACCTGACAGCTATTCAACATAATGACACATCATGTAAAATAGGAAAGGGTTAAATTGGAATGGATCTAACGTGAATGTTTTTCTTTCGAGATATAATTCAAGTTAGTAGGTAATGTTGAGAATGCAATTAAATTTATGTTTTTGTTTCTTCACATGCCCCCAAAACGATTGTGCCCCCCCTCTCCCAAATGAAAATTTTTCATTTGGGGGATGACTAAATATTTGTTGACTCTTATATGATTTGCATCTTTGATTCATACTTCAGTTATCTTGTAAATACCAAAATGTTTTTTCTGTTTCATTGGTTACATACGGAGGTGATTCTAGGGAAGAGAAGCACAGTATATCAGTATATCGTGGTCACCTGCCAGATTTTTTCGGGGGGGCTACTTCGGAAAAAATTAACATTCAATATCCGGTGTTTTGCACCAGAACTATGAAATTAAGCAAGATTACAACCGTTTTCAATCATTTGACCTTACGATAAAATCACTATTTCGAAAATGATCCAAAGGGAGTAATTTCCTGATAATATGTGAACTTACCCATTTCTGCAATGGCAATGCCACCTATTTCCAGATGAAGTACAAGAAGCTCCGTTTCGGCAAGGATTTGATAGACATGCTAAAGAAGAACACTCTGTTACCTCCTGCCCATCTTCGGCGTTCTCGTAGATATTTACTTTCTGATTGGCAATCTAAAAATTAAAACTGAAGTTTAAAATTCTATTAGTTTTGTAGTGATTTTTTGACTTTTGTTAATATTTTACTATTCATGGGAATGTAAAAATGGGTTTCGTTGTCACACAAAAGTAAATTTTCACTAAACAGTTCACAAAATCGCAACACGTATTTCACTATACAATAACTTCCTTAGGTATGTCAGTATGAACACGCCTGAGGAAGCTATTGTACAGGGTGTATCAACGATAGGTGGGTGGTATTGTCTTTAGAGATACAAAAAAAAGTTTCGGAAAAAAATTGTACGGATCAATGAAAGCTATGTTTCAATAATTATCACTAATAATTTTTTGAACAGAGTGTTTTTCAGAAATATAGAGTTGTTTGGGTTTATACCGGGTGGTTCAGAAGTTATATATACACCAAATATCTCCTTCTTGATCGAATAGAATTGGGAAATTTTTCAACCAAATAACCTTGAGGATAATGAGGTTTGCCCCTGGTAAACAGGGGCAAACCTTCCTCTCAGTGTTTTTTTCAAACCCTCTACATAGAATAGTCTACACTATGAACTTTCAAAAAATGTGGGGTTTGACAACATTATATCCATCGGTAATGTGTTTTATTTTCGAAGAGAATATGAATATATTCACGATTTCTCTTCGAATTTCAATAATTGTGTATCTTGTGAAAGAGCAAAAAAATTCAATCAATCTATTTTCCTTCTAATTTTGTTGATTTCATGCAGTAGGCTTATCCCTCAATAAGATAGTAGGAATATCTCACTAATATAGTTTATTGTATGATTTTTACTATAAATAGTTTTACAAAAACTGCTTGAGCCAAGTTAATGTTATGTTGATGAGTCCAAACGTGCTCTGCTATTCCTGATTTGCTGGTTTCCCCTCGCTGTGTGTGTTTCTTATGGTCGGCAATGCGAACTTTCAATGGCCTCTTAGTTTCACCGATGTATGATTCTATGCACTCGCAAGGTATCTGGTAAACGCAATTATTGAAATCGCAGTCCAAGTTTGATAGCCTGGTTTTTCTGAGGCTGCTACGGATAGTGGTCCCAGATCTGAAGCAGGTTCTGATGTTATACTTGGACCCAATCCTTTCCTACACAGAGGATTGTCGGAAAGGATACAAAGGAATAACTTTGAATGGAGAAATTTATGGAGATTCCCTTCGAAATGGTTTAACAAATGTTTTGGAGGATGTACCGATTGACACAAGACATAGGTTATTTGGTTGGGATTTAATCAAATTGGTGAATGAATGTCATTACGATGTCATCGATGACATAAGTAGATCAAACTTATTCCGTGACATGAAAAATCGTAATTCATGAATGAATTGTGTGTATTTTCTATAATGTTATCCAGATTGATACTTAAGAGCCCTAAGGCAAGTGTCTTACGGCCAAACCTCGATGTCTACCAGTGAGGATGACGGTGTTCCATTTAAGTGCAATTTGTTACCATTCATTTAGAGTAGAATTCCTGTGAATGATATCTGATTGTATTCCATAACGAATGTTTGGAATATAAACTGAGTAGGGAAAAGTATCTTTTGTATAATTCAGTGTTCATATAAAAGTATTTGTTTCGAAAGAATTTTTTTCTTTCGTGTAATTCAATGTTTAAATGAAAGTAGATGTTTCAGGAGGGCTTCCTTCTAGTTTGTGTCTGAAAGTTGCTTCTTTGCATGTAAGATCGGAAGATTTCCACATTTTTTTTTGTATCAAGAGGGAGTAGTAGAAAGCCAAAAACTTTCTTTCCCAAACATAGGTTATATTATCAATATTATGTCGCGCCTCTCTACATCAAAACCTGAAGTTTGTTTCTCAGGAATACGTTTAAGCGCATGATATACCAACAAATCAAAAATTTGTGAGTATCAGTTCAATAAGTTTTTGATCACCATATGAAATGTGCGGATCCATTTTTGATGCTATGTTTTCCTTTAACAGAATTTGCGATCTTTGTTTTGATTGGTTTCCGGGTTTTGCCATGGTCTTCTTTGGTTATAATTTCCAAACGTTTCAACTGCAACTGCGGCAGTCATCTTCAGTGGCGTGCGTGGTCGAAGTACTCTTCTTGACATGTCAACTGAAACGTTGCTGATGAAACAAACATAGGACTATTCATTCGAATGAAGTTGAAAATATTTTGTGTTGGATTTAAGAGAATCAAATTTACATTGAATCCTACTTCAGATAATGGCAAAACTAGTATGTTCGATAGTTTTAAACAATAAATTTAGTTTAATGTGTTTTTTGAGAACACTTCTCCCCCACCAAAACAAAGCGAGCAAATATTAGGTACCAGTCAGGTAGCAAATAAAATGGAAACGTGCGTCGAGATACAGATACGTTGAATTGAATGGGGTATAATAATTTTGAGATGAAGTCGCAATTTTATGATAGAACACAGAGTCAGATGCTACAAATGCAATACGCATATATAGAGACGGATTAAAAATCAAAGAAGACTCAGGATGTGAAGTGTACTCCAGGTCACTAAGCCTAAGGATTAAGTGGGGAATGGGAAAAAATACCAGCTTGGTCCAAACATAACTGGCTGGTATCTCAATCGCCAAAAAAAAATACCAGGAAAGGAATTTCTGGCAAAAACATAACAATCTGTACTGATAGCAGACAAGCCCTATTGACCTTGAACAGACACTATAGTACTAGCCTCAGGGCTAGTACTAAAGTGTAACCAAGATTTAGCCAAAGCTTCGGTAGATGATAAAATCATCCTGAATTGTGTTAAAAGGCACGACAGGAAAAAAAGTAATCTCATTGCCAACTCTTTAGCCAAGGAAGCGGATGGACTAAGAATTTTAGGACCCAGTGGCACCTACGGCCTGATGACTTCGACAATTGTGGAACTAGTCAAATATTACATCCATACTCATTCCTTTATGGGAGATGGAATGGAATCAAAGGATGCAATCTTGCCAGGATCACCTTGGGCGACCCTGGGAAGCTGGCGCCGAAGAAATATCTGTCGATGACCAGGAAAAATCTACGCTTAACAGTAGGATTTCTGACTGGTAACTGTCAACTAAGGAAACACCTCCATAATATGGGGCTAGTGGAGCCATGTCTATGCAGGATGTGTGAACAGGAAAATGAGACTGTCAGGCATGTCCTATGCGAGTGCCCGGAATTATCATCAATAAGAGGGTGTGTGTTTAGTGAGTCTTGGCCTACACGTGCAGATATAAAGGAGATGTCTCCCAGTGATCTGTCCAACTTCCTGGAAAGGACAGGATGGACGATGACCTACGAGGACAACTCCTCGGGAGGATGTACAATGGGTCACATGTGGCCTAAGTGCTGTAGGCTTACACTCATCATCCCTACTCTACAGATACAGATACAGAATGTTTTTATGAAAGTAATTGTTTCGAAGGTGTTTTTTCTTCCAGTTTGTATCTGAAACTTACTCTTTTTCATAATCTATACATCTTTATGAAAAGTTTATTTTGAAATTAATTGCTTTCTTCCCTTTCTTGGAAGATTTCCACATCGGATGTCCGCTATTGACAGTATTCCATATCAGTAAAATTGCATCTCTTCCAAATACTACATTGTGTAGCAATCCTATGAATGATATCTGATTCAATTCCATAGCGAATGATATCTGAATGAATTCCATAAAGAATGTATGGAATACAAATTGAATAGGAAAAAGAGATTTTTGTATGATTCAATGTTCATATAAAAAAAGTTATTTTGAAAGTATTTTTTTTTCGTGTGTTCATATGAAAGTAATAGTTTAGAGAGGTTTTTTCCAGTTTCCCGAAAGTTACTTCTATGCATGATCAACAAATTTTTGTAAAACGTTCATTTTGAAATCGATTGCTTTGTTTCATTGGAAGATTCCCACATTTTTTGTATAAAGATGTAGACATAGAAAACCAAAACCAGAACATTTTTGTTCTGGTGAGGAGAAAGTGTTTTCAAAAGGTTAATTTCACGCCAGAAGTTACAAATTCTACTTATCAATTGGATATTATTTGTTTTTTCATGCATTTCAAACCTGTTATACAAAATTGAATTGGTTATGTCCAAATTATTTGTATTTTCAGCCAACGAGTGAACTTGCTGGCTGAAAATACAACACAGAGGAATTTCATCAACTTTATGGCCCAAGAATTGATCCCTGAAGGATTCCTTATAGCAATTCATCTTCCAAAAATTTTGGACTTGATTGATAAACTTGGCATGGTGAGTTTTCACATTATTTGTAACTTTCGAAATCTTTATCGGAAGATGAGTTGGTTGATTTGAATAATAATGGATGCATAATTTCTGATTATATGATTTTACAATTTTGGTAGTAATTTCACCAGTTATTAGTTACAGGCCTAAAACTAAAATGTCCTTATAGGACGAAACTGCACTAACGTTAGTTACAAATTAAAGTGTTAAAAAAACATATACAGTTTAATTTCTCATTTTTCATGATGATCTCCTATCACGTGGTAACGGCTACATCCTTCAATTTATTGAAACCAAATGAGGCGTATATGTCTCTCAAAGGAGTACTGAATTTTGATCTCACTAGCATATAAATATTTCTATTAACAAAAAAAAACATTGTTCCTTTTCAAAAAATCCAGTTTCTCTTTCAGGAATTCAAACATCGTTATCATGCCCTAGCCACTGTATTCATCAGATTTGGCACCTTATGACTTCTTCCTGTTTCCAAGATCGAAGAAATCCATGAGAGGACGATTTGTTGCGACGGTTGAGGAGATAAAAACCGAATCGCTGAGAGAGCTCGAGGACATACCAAAAAGTGCATTTCAGAACTGCTTCGACGATTGGAAAAAATGCTGGTATAAGTGAGTTATATCTTAGAGGGACTACTTTGGAGGGGGCAAGATATAAATTGATTAACGAATAAATATTTTTTGTGAAAAGTTCACCTTATTTTCAAGTATCTTCAAAATTTATTGATATTTTTGGAGAATGGAGAAACGTTAAGATATGTTTTCTGTTCGGAAAAAATTATTTCGGAATTCAAAGTTGCCAAATATATTATTGAATATCTGAACTACACCAAATCAAAATATATGAACGGGGCCTTACCTTCTTCGCAAACTTTCAGTGTTCATGAGGTACCATTATTCTTATTGAATTATTGTCACAACATATTCATGATCTTTGAAAGAATGGAGGTGCAACAAACCTTGAGATTCGACATACAACCGACAAATCCGCCAACAGGAAGAGAAGCTCCGGTAATGGAATCTGCAGGCAATCCCCCTAAATGCAGCCATGCTGAAGGATGAGAAAACCGATTTATTCTTGCTGTTTGATCTCCAGTCATAGATAGACTATTGTTTACTTTTATAGAGGCGTTACAATGTTGGAAGTTTCGACTAAAATCCAACCTGAAATCACGTATATATATATTTTCTCAATTTCAACAGTTAATTGCATTGGTTAATTTTTATTTCATTTGGAAGTGATTAACAATATTCCTTGGTGAATGCTGGAAAATGCTTCTACTGTCGAAATGTACAAATGGGTTTGAAATCTAGTTAGCTCAAGACGTTTTGATTGTTTCCACAAGTTCAACGTAGGATAACGACTGATTTCTTTTGATAATACGATAAGGCCGATTTTGGATTTCTCAGTTTCATCGATGTAGGACTTATTATATTCATAAATATCCGCGATTGGATAGTTAGATTCATTCAGTTATCCCAGTGGATAAATTAGAATCGTACGGAATCACGGTGTATAATAAATAATCACGCGTTATCGAAACAAACCGGTCATTACGAGAATACGATTGTAAATATAATCTAGATTCGAAACCTCTCAATACATAAAGAAAATTCATATTTCTTGAAGATTTTAGATATTTTGACTACCTGATATTATGACCGACCGTCGTCTCGCAATAACTGTCTGTTTTCGTTTTAACATTTGATAAATGTTAGGTTCCAATATGTTTAGGAAAAATCGAGGAGTGGACTGTATAATTATAGGAGACGCCAAGTTCTAGGAAACCAAATTTCTGAATTGGTAACCAAATGATTTTTCAATATCATAAACGGTAAAATTGAAATAGCATCAAAATAGTCTCTCTAAATAGCATCTCAAATCCCACTTACCTTAGGGGAAAAATGTAACTTCAGTAAAGATTCACACATTTTTGTTCAACAATAGGTAGAAAGCCAAAAAGCTGTTTTCCTACATAGATTTTGCATTTTCCATTTTCCTCACAACATCCAAAAGTATATGTCATTAAAAGTGTTTTTTCAATACATGATTCCAGTTATCTAGTTTTGAATTTTGTACAACTATATTCAATAATATAAAAAACTATTTGATATATTTTTACAGTTACGGAATATATTTCACCGCATTGAAAACCAGATGATCCTTTTCATGACGTAAATTGTTTCTGGCATATATCATCATTTATGAAACAATATCAGTTTCAAAAAAATGTATGTGTCTTGGAAGTTTTAATTTCTAACAGGTTGAAATAGGTTATTAAAGCAACCTCATTACCTCCGTCAAGCAACCTCATGACCTCCGTCATGGCTTTATACCGGGTCACGGAGAAAGCAGAATGAATTTACTCGAACAAAAAACTACTTTCAGCTACAGCTTCGAAATCTATCCTGTGCTGTGTTGAATATTGGATGCGCAGTAGATCAGCCAAAGAAGTAGGGCCAGGGCACATTTACATCGAGGAACTCGTGTAGTGAACATCGTGTTAGTACAGTAAGTGAAGACATTGTTCTGTATGGTGAACTGTGAGTTATTTGCCGTCTTTGAAAACGTCTTCGAACAGTTAACTGAAAAACTAGGTTCTCGGTGGACAAAGCAGGGAAATTCTGAACAACATATTAAGGTGTATGCAAGCGGAAACAACGGCGTGAGAACTTCACTGAATAAATTAGAGATGTAGAAAATTGAAAATAGTTAGAAGAAACATTTTCAACTCCTAATGAAAAAATATATCGAAAATTCCAAAATTGTGGTGGATAGTGCTGAATTGATGTCAGTATTTGCGAAAAGATATTCATAAACTTGGATTTTGATGGAGAAAGGTAAAACAATAACAGGAAGATATTGATGTAACGCCAGCCTAAACGGCTACGTAAAATAGAATTCTTGAATCAAATGCAACCCTATAGGGAAAAATGTGGACCTATTATTCATATGGAGTTTTTGGAACTATATGAAATGCTATGCAGTATCAGTATTGCAAGCAATGTTTCGTGGATTGTCTATCTGCTACGTTTCATAATCATTTCCAGTAACTATGCATTCTATTGTCTATCAATTATCGGTTGCTAATTTATCTCTTATGAGAATTTAGGTATCTATTATTTGCAAATAAATATCACAAATCATCTTTCAATTATTTTTCACCTGCACAAAAGGAAGAATTGGGGTTCCTGTTCTACTTTACTATTTTAATTACAACGTATATCAAACCATGAAACTATGAAACAACAAAAATTTAATGGGAGTCCGGGGCGACTTCATTGATTTTAGTGGCACATTTACTTTTTCAGTTGCAGGAAAATCCCGGAAAAACCTGCAGCATCACATCATTTGAAGATCTTGATTTGATAATATCATCTCTTTCGTAAAACAAAATGTAGGGTATCTCCAGAGGTTCCAATAAATTCAAGACATCGCCAGAACACTCAGTGACACGACTATCGTCAAATTTAAACCAGTCTGTTTCGTCTTTGACCAATGCGTAATAATGGCCAGATTCAACGCCAGAACCACAGCAAACAATGACTGCATGAAAATTATAATAGGGGTCTGTTAGATTGAAGTCTTCATCCATTTCGAACCTCCGTAAGAGTTTGGTGCTGTCAGGGGTTGAGTCATGTTTGAAGATCATCAGTGTCATTATTAGGTTGATTGGTGCCTCAGCTAAACTTGTTTTCTTAGTTTGGCAATATAGTTGATCATCACCCGTTCAAAGTTCAATTTTCAGATGATTCAACAATAAGCTTTGCACGGACTGATTATCAGTTATATTAGAATACGCTAGTTGCAGTTCCAGAAAATCGCATTCGTTTTTACTACATCTTGGACATTTACTACAGAGTAAACAAGTAAGGATTTTTCCAGCAAAATATCTACAAATACAATACGAGATAGACTGTACAGAATTATTCAATCTAGAGCGGTCAGGAGTATTGATATAGCTATTTTTTCTCTCACGAAGAGTATTCAACAAGAATCTCAAGAATTCGGAACAATCCTCTTGTTGTCCTAATGAGTATCTAGTGGACTTCAAAGACTCCAGGAAATCGCTTGGTGGGAGAGATGATACATTCTTGCGAAACTACAACTGCATGGATAATTATTTGAGTTTGGTGAATAAGTAGGAAACATTCTCGTTCTCGTTCATCGTTAAAACCTCGTTCTTGAAATTCTTCGTCATGAATAATACTTCTAAAATACTATTCATGTAGCAAATGTTTCCTAAATTATCTAATCCAATTTTCTTCGCCAGGTTTTCAGAACAACTGTCTACTGATTTGTAAGGAAGAACATGTTTCACAAAATCTGTATCAGAAACATTTCTCAAGATGCAATCGATCCTTCCAAGCGAAAGGTTTCGTAGATGGATCAATTCGGCTCTTGCTTCATGAAGCTTTTTCACTTTCACTATTGAATGTAGAGTTGTCAACAATTGCCGAATTCATGTAAAGTCAACAATTTTACCACTAACACGAGCGGATAGTTCAATTGCAACAACAACAATAGAGCAAACAGTTTGCGTCTTACTCTACAGTCGATGTTCTGTGCGCAAATATACTCGTACCAGTATTTTGCAGACTTTTCAACCTGTCTCACAAGAAAGGGGTTTTTCCTTCTTGTTGGAAAATTGCTCAAGTTCAGCCTGTTCCCAAAAACATCTTTCAAATAACTATAGACCAGTCGCTTTGCTTTGTGATATCAAAAATCAAGAAGAAAGCCGTAAACCACCATATCCTCAAATATTTGAAAGGCTTTAACATCTTGGGCGATCATCAGTATGGCTTTAGGAACCAAAGATCAACAGGCAACCTTCTATCGTATGTCAATCATATTTGGAATCATACAACCGAGAAACATGGAGAGTCAATGCTGGTGTTCTCTTGGGATCCATATCGTCTCCAACCCTCTCTTTATTGTATATCAACAACTTATTGGAGAATCCAATATATTGCTTTTGAAGACAGCACACTTGTCTCATCATTCCACTTGAATTCCAGGACATCGGCGGCTGCATATGCATATCTTCACCGGCAGCAGGAGGTTGCATCTCTTAATGAGGATCTAGAAGTGATTTCGAATTGGGGTGAAAGTAACCAGGCTGATTCTCAAAAGCATGGAACACTGTTTCGAACCAGAAAACTGTACACGTCTCAGCAACTTTTGATGCTTTATAAAGCCATAAAATGGTGGGTCGTCAGCAAATAAGGTAATTTTTCCAGAAGTATTTATACACAGTGAATCATTGATATATATAAGAAAAACAGTGGGTCCCAAAACCGATCCTTGTGGCACTCCATAATCTATATTAATATATTTTGAAGTTATATCACTTTTTACGACTTGACTGCGGCCAGTTAGGTAGGATTCGAACCAATCCAAAGTAACTCCCTCACAGCCGTAGCAATGTAGTTTCCGCAAAAGTATTTTGTGGTAACCCTATATTCCCTATCCAAGTAGAAGGTTTCTGTTTTCATATGAAAGGCGTACTTTTGAAGATCTAAGATCTGTAAGTTTTGTTCTCTAGGAACATATTCCGATTATCGCATCAAAGAGGTATAAATATTTCGTTTTTAAAATTACTAGTCCATAGATTCACTTCAGTAGTAACTACACTTTCAGAATTCAACAAGAAATATTGTCAACTACATTCAATTCACTGTTTTAAGAATTTAACTCACCCTGCTTTTATATTCATGGTATACCCTTCATTAACAGGCACCTTCAACTCACTCAACAACATGGTTTGGTATCCACAGGAAAATCTGAACTTCAAGTAACCATTTTCCATATATAAGGCCATATGAGGTAAATCAATATTACAAAAAAATAAGAGACCATCATTAGCCATGGTCATGGCTTCAAATTCGAGTGAAATGCGGTAAGAATCACTCAGAAGACGATGTGAGAGATATGAATGTCCATTAAAAGCAGCCTTTTTTATTCCAAGTTTCACTTCACAATACATACCTTCATAGTCGAAAGGGCACACACACTGAAAGATACTTTCAAACTTATAATAATTACATTTATTTTCAAACATAATTTATGAAGTTGAAGAAAATAGTTTGTTTACCTTATAGTTGGACTCGATAAAAACACATGTTCCACCATTTTGACATCTTGTTTCGTATCTAGTACAATCGATACGACCTACCGTACTACTTTCTTCAGTCGATGAGTAGGTTGTTGTTTCAAAGGTTGTTGGAATTGTACTTGTAAAGGTACTCGCTTCTATTTTCTTTGTCGGTTCAGTAGTGAAAAAATTTGAAATAAAAGTACTGCTATACTCTGAAAAAGTCCTATTCATTTCCACGTCTATTAAAGAAGTATTAAAAACAGTTGTATCTTCTATGTGGGTTGTGATATCAGTGAGGAAAGAAGTTGCTGAAATTGTTGAAGAAGATTCAAAAACAACTGTACTAGTGAATTGCTCTGGAGCAGCAGAAGTAAAATTATCGAAATACGAAACCGGAGAAGTTTCAAAATAAACTGATGTAGAGTAAGTTGGGAATTCAGAATTGAGATTTGAGGAAACAGATTGTTCAGTCGTTTGAAAAGTTACTTCGGTACTGAGACTTTGTAGTTCCGTACTCACAGTTGTAGTGTCAGTAGTGAACATTGTGCTTGAAGAACTCGAGGACAAGTCATTTCCAAACGGCGTGTAGTCTGTTGGAGATAGGGTTGTCATGAAAGTTTGCTTGGAGATTTCAGTTGTTGAAGATTCTTCGATAGCATAGGTACTCGTAATTGGAATAGCACTCTCATTATTGGTAGAGATAGTCATTTGAGTAGAAATTTCTGTAGTTGGCACTTGGATTGTAGAAATAGATGTGAGAATAGTAGTGAATGTAACACTGTTTATTGTCATGTTGTCATAAGAAGAAGTAGCGGTTGGAATATCAGTAGGTTTTGGTCTAACATAAGTGCAGTCTAAAGTATTGTTTGGTAGTATTAGGCATTCGCAAAGGACGCCAGTTAAATAAGGTGGGCAGGAACAAGTAGATTTATCTATTCCATCAATGCATGTTCCTCCATTCATGCACCTGGAAAAAATAGTTAGTTGATCACTCCCAAATATCATTTGAAATCATTCATCAAATTATCTTATTTATGAGTACCCGATAAATCAATTGTACAATTCGATATTTTGTGAGATGAAAGGAAAAAATCGATCAAATATAAAATATCTTACATTATTGGAATTCTACACCTTTGACGGTGCTACACCTGTATCTGAAACTCTCTTGTTAAAAACTTAAGAGAAGAATTAGAATCCCGCAAAAGTAGAGGAGAAATGAACCTAACCATAAAATACATCAACAATGTTCCTACCATAACTCAGACAAACTTAAAAAACCTCAATTTTCTAGGTCTAGTGCCCTCTCGTGGGCGCTTTTGTCTCTCAACAAGGAAGAATGGATTCATCAGACCGCAACCAGTATGATAGAATGACCAAATAGTCACTCAACAGAAAAAATCTCAGTAGGATAGTAGGAGACTATTAAGGGCACGGAGTCATTAGGCCTTCACCATATTTTGTGAACAGACCTCGTATAGTAACTTCGTGTAACTAGGAAAATTCAAAAAACAATAGTAAATGGTTTCAAAACTGTTCAATTGATTATGAAAAGGGAAGAAGAGCTCATAAAAAAATATTTACAAAAACATGGTAGTGAGTCTGAATTTTAAACTCAGCACTTGAGGCTGAGGCTTCAAAATATATTTTTTCAAATCATATGGTTCCACATTCAACAGAATTTGTTTCAATCTGATCTTTCGGAAGAGTTATATATTTTGCCGTGTTAGGAATCACAAGTTAAAAGGTAAGACCTCGTTAGTCTTTAGCTCGCACAAGTTTCTCAACTTCTGAGAGTTGTCGTTTATATGGGGGCGACAGCTGATTAACGGAAAAACAG